AGAGCTCGGATAGATGTGGCAAATGCAATCCTGCGAGAGGATGAAAACAGAAGTGAGACTACTGAAAACTCCTTTCAGTGGCAGATTATCGTGTAGACCGGGGAACTGATTGAAATGATGATAAAGGGAAATACCTTGAATACACAGGAACAAGATTTCGGGGGAAGTGGTTACTCCTACCTTTACTGGCAGAAAATTCCTAACCGGCGTGAAGTTGTGATTTGTGTCTGCCCTTGTAATAAGGAAAATGAGGTTTATGGTGAATCGTAGAATCATTAACATTGGAAAAGACCTCCAAGATCACTGAGTCCAACCTTTGATCAAACATCACCTTGTCAGCCAGACCAGAGCACTGAGTGCCCCATCCAGTTGTTTCTTGAACACCTCCAGGGATGGTGATTCCACCACCTCCCCGGACAGCCCTTCCAATGCCTGACAACCCTTCCAGTGAGGAAATTCTTCCTGATGTCCTGCTAACCTCTGCAGCCACGTGTAAGGCTTTAGAAGGCACAGCCTGGGCATTGTGCCCTGACTAGAAGCCTACCAGAAAAGAATCAGTTTGTCCCAAAGTTATGATACGTGTTTCTTGCTCCAGTGAAAGAGCTTTGTGGTAAATGCAGCAGGGATTAAACATTTTAATATGAGAGAATTACAAAATTTTTGGGATACAGTTACATCACAATACTTACAGATGATTATTGCAACTTTTTTATGATTTTTTCCATGTGAAACATGGGAATACTGGTTCTGAGCAGAGACTGAGGACTAGTTATGATTATGGGGTAATAGGGATGCTGAGGTGTGTTGGTTTCTTTGGTTGTGAAATGCCCATGTCAGGGCAGTGGCCATAGCTGTTAAAACTGGATGGGGGAACAGAAGCTTCATAAATATCTGAGAAAGCCCAATTTCTTTTAAGAATCATTTTCCCAAGTGGATAGTTTTTGAGACTCAGCTTCGAGAGCTGCCAGCCAGCCACTGGCAGGTCCTGGGCATGGAAGGACTGGCTTAAAAGCTTCCTGTTGTGGAAAGGGAGGGACTTGTTGTGCTGAACTGGTCAGTGGTGCGGACCTGCTGGCTGGGTGATTATCAAGGAATGCAATCTGATAGGGAAAGACACGTCAGCTGGGAAAGAAACAACCTTGAAAACTGCCTGCAGTGAGCCTGGGGCTTCATAGTTACTTGGGGTCAACCTGACTGCAGGTTGGAAAAGGGGGATTCCCACCAGCCCCCTCGCTCCAGCTGTGTCTTCCCACCTCACTGTTGCAATGGTACAAACTCCTCGTAGGCACAGATGGGGCCTGCAGGGGGCTGATTCAGTGCAACAGGAATTAGGAGGGGAAGGACAGGGTGTTTTTGGCAGGCTCGCTCTGCTCTGGTGGATGCCAGGCAGTCGCTGTGGCACAGGGGTGACAGAGGTGGGATGAACAGGGAGGCTCCTGGGGGTCCTAACAGAGGCTGGAAGTTCTTCTGTTAAAAGAAGACAAATTCACTTCGAGGTGATTGTTGTTACAGGGGAAAGCAGATTGACCCTCCCAGTTTTAGGGGTTTTATTTCTATACTGCATGAAAGAAACCTTTTAGTGTTTGTTTTCTGGGGATTGCTTCTAATGACTCCTGCACTCAAGAGCATAAGACTTTCTTGTCTCCTCTCCTCCCACTGCCTCCCTCCCACCCCCAATAAATTTGTTGAAATGGGTCAAAGCAGAAACCCTGGAGAGAGTTCTTTAGTTATCTATGAACTGTCTCTGCCCTAAATCGATGGGACTTTGGGGCAGGGGAAGGATAATGGCCTTGCTTGTTCTCTCTCAAAATGTGCTCCAAGCGGCGACTCCCTTTCTGCAGGGATGATTGAATGGGGGCTATTTTGGGCCAGAAAGTTTATTAGCCACTGTTGAGTCAGTGGAACTAAAGCTCCCAGGCTTTGAATCCTTTCCGTAGCCAGGTCACCGCTGCAGCACCTTTGAGCCCTGATCTCTCTTTGCTTTTCACTGGAGCCTTTTTGATTTCAAAGGTGTGGAGAGTGATACTGAGCCATGGGTTCCTATTTTTGTTGCACTCTAAAGGACTCTCCAACGCACAGAATTACATCTCCTTTCACTTGATATCTACTTAGAGCGTGGTTGCAAGGCTCGGGAAGCCTGAATACCTCTGAGGGATACACAGTGCTCAGGTTGGAAGTACCGAACTTGCTTCTGCTTGCTCCTTAATATGAGCTGGCTTGCAGAAATAATGCATTGGCCACGTTGAATTTTTTACAAAAATTGGGCTATCTCATGAGATTAAGTCACAAAAGTATGAAAAATCTGCCATTAGTGCTTGTGGTTTGTAATCCTGTCTCCGTTACTAGGTTTAAATAAATGAAACGTGCACTGGACACGGTTCAAATCGAGTAAGGAGGAAAAGATTAGTGATTTTCCAAATAGTTTTGATTTGGGGCTTATTAACTATGACGTAGCTGGGCGATTTAGTATCTTATTTTGTATCAGATCATGCATAAAGTGTTGGATTTCTGCTGTTCCTCAGCTGGAATTTTATCTTACACTATCAGTGGCTCGTCAGTGCTCGGCAAGACCTTGAGCTGGTGGGGTTCAGCCCCCCGTGTCGGTTCAGTGCAGTTCTGTGCTGGCAGTTCTCCTTGGCAGTGTCTGTGCCTGATATGACACACAAGGAAATGTTTTGTGGTGAGAAATTATCAGACCCGTCCCAGAAGGAGTTCTGAAAGTTAATGGGAAGGTGCCCGGAGTGAGCACACTCTGGCACTGGGATCAATCAAGCAGTGGGGATGAAGAAGTTATTTTCCGTTTGCTGCCTGACCTTTCTCTTCATTATAGCATGAAATATGAAATATTATTTATTTTTCAGTCACTTCTTTTTCATTCCTGTCTCTAAACTTGGAGGCACAGGTCTTTAAAAGGCTCCTTTTCCATGGGTGAGCTTGGTTGCCCGCGCTCGATACTGTGAACCGAAGCATTTGCTTCTTTGCTCTGCTGAAATTCCCTCTTACTTCATGACTTGTCTTTTCTTTGCTTGGCTTTAAATGTGTGCTTCCTTTTTAAATATAGTTTTCCAAGTTTCTGGCCGTACCAGATTGTTTATATTTTTTAAAAGCCTTCTGCTTAGCCGTTATATTGCTCTTTATAGTTCTGCTTAACCACATTGGTTTCTGTTGCTCTTTTTTCTTGCATAAACTTAGCTGGGATGAATTTCAAATGTGGTTTATCCAACTGTTAAGTATTTCCCACTTTTCTGCAATAGATTTCACATATGTTACAGAATTCCAAACCAAGGTCTGGTGGACATATTGCCCCGTTTCTTTACTCAAAGTCAGATATGGAAGGTTTTTTAAGCATTTCAGTGGTGATATTTAGGTCACTGGCTCCAGCATTGCTGCCTGGCTTCAAATCCACTTGTCATATTGAGCTTGTTTCCAAGGATTAAGATAACTATGGTCCCTACATTTAATAGGGGAAAAAAAAAATCTTAATTTTATGCTAATAAATCTAACGGTGGGGGAGTAAAATATTGATCCTTTTGGGTTGGAAACTACGGAAGGCTTTTTATTTTCCCTCCAGAGTTCAAATTGTGCAGTCACATAAAACCCACGTCCATCCATCCAGTCACTTAAAGTTGCAGGATTTACCCACTAAAAAATGTATTAATATTTGAAATTAGGCTGTTTCAGAGTATTTAGAAACCAGTATCTGTATCTAAGTATCAGTCAGCAACCTGAGCACCTATTTGGGATCTGATCTCAGACCTGACAGGAGGTCCCAGGCCGGTGGGATTGGTCCCTTACAGGTGGTTGAGTTACAAACAAATGCCAGAGGTGTGGCAGGTTTTTTTGGTGGAGAACACTGGAGTTTTTGCATGGAGGTTGGAGGCATTTTAGCAGGAGGATGAGTTGAAGATACTCTTGCTATAGTAAGTTGTTCTCACTTTTCATGAACTTCTTTCTTTCTCATAGCCAGGTTTTTGTCCTTTGGAATTAATGAGGGGGGAAAACAGTGCAAAATTCCTCTTATAAATTCTTGGTTCTCCAGTGGCTTGGGGAATGTTGTGCTTAGCTGAATGGAGGGTTTTGCCTTTGTTTTTTTTCATGTTACGTGGAAATGCTGCAGAAGAGGCATAAACTGCCACAGAAGATTGAGTGTTGTTGGTTTGTGTGCTGATAAGTGACCCGTTCAATCCATTGTGGTGACATTTGGAAGCACAGCACTGAGTGCAGAAACTGGGATGGGGATAACACTTGGAGGAAGCTGCGAAAAGATGGGGCCTCTGCTCCAGCCTGGCAGAAACTGTTGGAAGATAACCTGGCATTCATCAGGTGCTTAAAAATGATATGGTTTGGAGAGGAAATGGAGATCCCTGCTAATAATTTTAGAGGAATAGGTTCCAGTAATGGGAAAAGATAATTTTGTATTCAAATAAGGAACAGCTAAAATGGAAAAGAGCACTGTAGTGGCAGTGTGGAATTATATACAGTATATTATAGGAAATTAGGAATGACTGAAGCGTAGCCAGTGTAAGGTTAACCAACACTGGAGTTAATAATATTTCTTTTTCATGGGGTAACTCAGAAAGGGGAAAACCGGTATCTTAAAAAAGCAGGCGAGTGAAAATAAACCTGGTTTGAATATGTCCATAATCTGTAATCTTCCCAGGATTTGGGAACTGTTATTAGGATGTGTGTGTTGCCACTGCTGCTGTCCTGTGTAATGTTGGGGTGAAGCCATGGGTGCTTTTGTGGAAAACGGTGATATTTTGGTTGCAGGGTGGAATCAGGAAGGTTCTGGAGCTTCATTTGATGGTGTTCAGGAGGTAAATTTGTGGCAGTTTGGTGCTTTGTCCTGTCCTGCTACACAGTCCGGCTGCCTCAGTATTCCCAACAACACGATACGTGCGTGAGGGGTTTTTATTTCTGTGACAAACACAGTTCTGACTATATTTCCCTTTTTTTCCCCTTTTTTTTTCTTTTTCTTGTTTATGTTTTGTTTTTCTCAGAGAGAGCTCGATACCACAGCAACAATATTGGCGAACCGGCAAGATGAAAGTGAGCAGTCCAGGAAAAAACTTATCGAGCAAAGTCGTGAGTTCAAGAAAAACACTCCAGAGGTAAGGAGAGAAGCTGTTCCAGTCTCCTTCAGTAGCACATGATTTTAGGCCTGTGGAAGTGATGGTTTTTTTTCTTAATGTTTTATTTCTATGATTTTCTCATGTGTATTTTCAAGTCCACCACCTTAGCTAAGGCTGCTTGTCTTTGATGGCTTTCTCATCAGGCAGCTTTTGCATTCTGTAAATAATGAAATATAGATCGCTGCTTTTAGAGGAAGTATCAACACTGGCCTTCAAACAGGCTTGCTCTAAATTTTATAATAATGTAAACCTGGGGAATTGCAAAAAAAAGTTCTTTGCTAATCCAAACTCCCTGAGCACTTGGATGCAGAAAGTGACATTTCGCTGCCTAAATATATCTGTATCAAGGGCGTAACTTCCACCATGCTCATTTTTCCATCAAAAATCAAATTAAGTTTCGCTGTTGATTTCACTGGAAATGCATCAAGGTCAGTGCTGAGCCAGACTCCCCTCGGAGGATGCACGTAGCACACAGCAGGTGTGGTGGAGAAGGTGTAGAAGGGGCAGGGACTGATGCTGGGGAAACCTGGGAGAGGTGACTGTCACCTGTGGGAAGCTGGGAGGGTTTAAACTCTGCCATGCCATGCAAGCAGTGCAGTGTGTGTGTGTACACCTGTGCACAGTTACACCCAAAATACAAATAATCTCATTTTGTTACCTCCTGAATGTGTAGCAATGTGTAGGCCTGGCTGGATCCTTTGTTTGTTTTGTGGTTTTTGTTGTTTTTTTTTTTTTCTCCCTCCCCGATGGTTGCCAGCAATCTGTTCATCCAGGAATGTTGTAGGGTTTCAAAGCCAGTTCCAGATAACTGAGGTGCCAGTATCGGTTCCTTCCAAGTGCCTTCCTGGGAGGGAAGCAGCAGGCAGCTTTCCTAACCTTTATTCCTGATTCTCAAGGAGCAGATGCTGCTCTGCTCCCTGTTGGTGCAGGGGGAGAGATGCTGACCCAGAGAGGGGAAAGGGAATGCTGGAGCAGGAGTGGCTTGTGGGGATGGGGCGGTGTTTAGTTGATGCCTTGAGGAGGATTTGTGGGGCAGAAAGCAGTTCTCCTGGAAGGAGTTCTATTCATTCAGGGACTGCATTCAGAACAAGAAGTCTGAACATCCCCGGTGTTTGGGGAAACTGGGATCTCTGCAGGATCCTACACCCTCATCTTTTGTCCTATGAATCCTATGTAGCCACGTTCCTTAAAAGCTTGCATGGATTTTTTTAGGTTCCTCCTTCCTCTGCCTTCTCTGCTGTGATGCTCTTTCTGCAGCTTTGTTTCTGAGCAGCAACACAGTCCCACTCCTCTTCTGCTTTCTCTGGCGGAGTTAAAAAATGAAAATGGGATCAAAGAATTAGAAGAAAGCATCAGAACTGTAGTAACAGGCAGCTGTAGCAAAATTTAGCTGTGATTTTTGCTCCCAGAGGCATGGAGGGAGTGAGTAGCTCAGCTGTGGAAGGTCTGATAGGGGCACCCCCTCCTGTCCAGGGGGCTTTATGTGGGTGTCCAGAAATCCCTGCTGGAAAACTGCACTACTGTTTATTCCTCTTCACACAAAAGCTTAAATTTGTGCACCTTCAGCTGTTTTCTGAACTTCCAAAAAGAAGGGAGGTCTATGATCACCTCTCAATACTTAGGTAGTTTTGGAAGACAGTTGAAAATGAGAAGGCAAGATGAATAATCCCTGATTTGGTTTTTTTTTTCCCCAAACTGCAACTTTATCTAAAAACCTCCCCAGTGAGGAGGAACATCCTTGAGGTGGACAGAGAACACACAGTGAGATCTGGCATTTCCAAACTGATACATTTACGTTCCTAAAACATCCAACGTGCTCTTTTTCATAACAAAAGAGTTCTGTAGTAGAAAACCAGCTTGCATGTGGAATGCTCTTCAGATAGATAAATAACCCAGTGTACAGCTTAATTTACATTTCCACGATGAAGTAACAACTTTATTGGTATTAAAAAAAAAAAGGAAACAACCCCACAAAGATGGAATTGTTAAATACAACAATCTGTTTCAGAATTCCACTTTCCATTTTCTGTTTCACACTGCCTGCATCCCTGTGAGTGCAGCCCTGGGTTAGCCTGTGCCAGCATCTCTTTTCCTCTGCTGTTGCCAATCTCACCATAAATCAGGAGCTGAGTGTCCATTGCCTTGACTTTCCTGTCCATTGCTGCCTGGGATGTCCTCTAGACTTTCCATAATGTCTGCTTGGAAGTTATCTCCTGTGCAGCAGAAAAGGATTCAAAAAATTACTGATGAAGTTGAGGATACTCCTGTTTCTTTTTACTTTAAAAATTGGGACGGATCTATTTGGGTCATTTCTGCCTTCCCTGCAAATTATCAAACTGCTGCAAAAGCAATACAATATTTTCATGTTTAGAGGAATGTCTCTAGGGCTTTTGGTATTTAAAAATGTTAAAATACTATTTCTGTCTTGGCATACTGGGAGATGACTCTGGGAAGAAGTATCTCGTGTTTGGGAACCTGATGCGAACACAAAAATTCAGTGGTGGTTGTTACGTGCAGAAACTTTGAGAAAGGGTTCTTAACCTGTTACTGCAAAAATACTTTTTTACCTCCTCACACCTTTCAGGGGGTCATGTCAGAACATGCTTCTGAGAGCTCTTTTGGGGTATTTTCAGTCTCTGTTTCGCCCTGAGCAGCTCTCATGGAAGGCTGAGACTACTTGATTACTTGAAACATCAATTTTACATGACTGTTACTTGGAAGACATCTCAAAATACATCATGTGAATTGCCAGCCTGCATCAGATGATTATGTTCTTATAGTGACAATTCCTGAATTGTTGTAGCCAAGTGTGATTTTTTGGGGGGTATTTTAACCTCTGTGGGATTCTTGGTTTAATTAATCCTGTCCTCATCTGCCAGTTCTGGTGTGAATATCTGAATGACTGTCTTTGAGAGTTGTTTTTTTTTTAGTCTCTAAATAATTTCTGATGAACAGAATAATAATTTTTGGCACAAAGTGTAGGCAGTTTCTAATGCTGATAACTTCACTTTTTTTCTATCCAGATTCTTATTTCAGTAACTACTTTTTCCTTAAACTTTTTTTTTCCTCTTTTAAGCAGTGAAAAGCTTATCTAATACTTCCACTTTTAAGCCTGTGTAACCCCTGACTCTCCACTGCTTTCCTCTGTGGTTTGGCCCTGTAAGGCAGGTGATGTTGAGCTGTGTGGGTTGTAACCAGGCTCACCTGGACCGGTCATTTAACTGTTGCTCTTTGTGGTTTCTGGGTTGTAAATGTACTCAGTTGGTGAGATTGGGAAGGTCAAGATTACCCTTAAATGCCCAAACAGACATCTGAATTCTGTAAAGCAGATTAAAGATTGGGTGGGCAGAGTTATGGAAGGATGTGGGAGAACCTGCAACCGCAGTGTGTTCTCAGATGAAGGGCTTTAAAATGCTCTGGAAAATGGAACGTTAGAAGGTGCTAGAAAACAAAATTAAAACACTGCCTGGGTGGAGGGGGCAGCCTGCTGACCCCAAATCCCTGGTTCATCTGCAGTGAATGACATTCCCCTACCTGCATCAACCCTCTTTTCCATCGGTGCTCTTGTTCCCCCGACTGTCGCCGTCATCCCCATCCTGCTCTGTTGTGGCTCTGCCCCAAAGGGAAAGAAAGGTGCCTGTAAAATATTTTGTTATAGAAGTAATGGTTTTATTCATGATGTTGCATGGCAGGGTGACGCATATCTTTAAGGTCCATAGGCTTTTTTTTTTTTTTTTCTTTTTTTTTAATAGAAAAAATATCATTATAATTGCAAGTCATAGGGAACTACAGGAAATGGAGACAGTCATTATGGAAGGGCTCCATTTTTTAAAATGTAAAATTCTTAAATTCTTTGTTTCCAGTGTTTCTGGAGTAGTCTATTGAATTATCCAGTCTCTACAGCAAAAGATAATCAAATTAAGGGTTTTTTTAAAAAATAAATGTTAATACAGCTGCTTGAATTAGTTCTTGAAATGAGAGCAGGGTCTTCTGAATTGAGAGTGGTGAATTGTGTGGATTCCCCATGACTTTGCACAGTCAACTTTGGTCTGGTCTGTGTGACAAAGTGAAAATAATAACAAAACCTACTGAAAACACACGGTTTGTCTGTAATTTATGTTCTGTGTCTGTGTACAGAGGGGTGAATATTGATTTGCTGCCATCTACAGCTGGGTTGTTCCACTCCTTTTATTGTTTTCTAGTTTTTTTCTTTGTTTTTCTTCCTCCTCCCTCTTTTTTTCCTATTTTCCCTTTCCCTCTTTTTTTGTTTTCCTCCTTTTCCCCTCTTTTCCTTTTTTCCCTTTTTTTCCCTTTCTTTTCCCTTTTTTCTCCTTTTTTCCCCCTTATTTGAACACTTCTCCTTTAGGATAATATTTAGGTGCCATGTCCTCCCTTCCCATGTTTCTATTCCCAGGAGGTTTGTTTGCCAGGTAAATGATGTTTAGGACAATTTGTGCTACATGGCCTTGGCATTTCAAAACCTAAATGGAGAAGTACATTATTATTATTATGGTGTGTCTTTTTTCAGAAAAGCAATAAAATCAAGCTCCATGTCTTTAAGTGTGATCTAAGCACCAGTCTTGTGGAGTCAGAGGGGTTAAATCAGGTCTAACCTCATCCTGGATGGCTCTTATTCATGGTTCTCAATAATTTTTCGTCATTATTTAATACATATTTGATTTTAGCATATTCTAATTGTTAACAGGAAACCCTCCAGTGTTTCTAAGGTATTTTTCTATATTATGGTCTCTTGCTGCCTTTTTATTGGAAGCAAGAGAACCTTAAAACAATTCTTAATTCACAGCTGAATTTTTCTAGGATTCTCCCCAAACTGACCTCCATTGACCATTCCCACCACCACAATCACTAGACTTGATTAGATTTTCTTTTAAAATAATTGTTTTTATCACCCAGTGCTTGCAGTGGTTCTTGGCAGTAGGTTCTTGGGTTGCTGCAGAATCCGTGCCATTTATTGAGGG